TTGCCAGGAGGTTTCTCATCTTTCCAAAGCCATTCAAAGCTTCCCTGCTGGCAGAAATTCAGGTTCTTGCTTGGGGTTTCCCCTGAGGGTCAGAAGACCCTGTACTAATCCCAATTTACCAACCTTAGCTGTACCATGTGCTAATCCTGGTAGAGTCTTTGCAACTTCTTCACCTGGAAAAGAAGTGATGCACAGGGCAATATTTCACTTTTTAAGTACTTGTAGAGGCCTCTCCTCTGTGCTCCTGCTGCTGGCACAGAGACCCTGGTGCTCAGGGAAGTAAAGAGTGTAAGACAGCCAGGATGGTTTTGTGACGAAAGGTTTCAGTCCCCTTTTGCACCTGTTATCCACCAATCCAAGGCCTTGGTAAACCCTCCCAAGATTCACAGGTAAAAGGATTCAGCGGTGACAAACAGACAAGAGTATTGTTTACCTAACCCAGCACCCTAAATTCATTTTGGCTGATTTTCTGCTTCTGCAGAAAATGCAATTAAATCTAGAGCTGAAAGCTAATAGAAAACCTGTTCTTGGAGGTGTTTCTTCAGCGACTTCAGGAGTTTCAGGCTGGAACATTCCCTAAGGCTGGATCTATGCTGTTCCCCGCAAATATAATTTTTTTTTTTTTATGACCCCAATAATTCTAAATTATTTCAGTAGCCATTTCTATTAATGTTAAGTTTATTTTCCAAAACTGTACCATAATCTTGGCCTCAGGTGCATCTTGCAGCAGAGGGTTCTGTAGGTTGCATGGAAGATCTCTGGAATTAGAGGTTTGCTTTCCATGTAAAATATTGGAATTCAGTGAGCCAAGTTTAAAATATATATTTTTGGACATTAAAATGGAAGCTTAACAAGACCACATCATTTGCTTGACCATTGAGGTTGGAGCAGATGACCCCAATGGTGTTCCCTTCCAAATTTAAACCTTCTTTGATTCCAACCCCAATGAATCAACAGCACACAAAGAAATAAGGCAGTCAAATGCTATGTAAAACCTATAAAAAACTTGAAAAATGTCACAAAGTAAATTCAAATAATGCATAACTTAGAGGGAATTGCAACTGGTTCATGGATATTCTATGAGCAGAAGATAAACATCTAAGTTAGTTGCATAAATTATTCATTATAACATATTTGCTCAGCTTTTCTTGTCAGCTGGGAAAGCCACACATCCAAGCATAGGGAGAGTGCAGCAGAACTGGGCTTTCACCTCCCTGCTGTGCCCTGGGAGCAGGGAGCCCTGGGGAGGGATGGCATCAATAACAATTGGGTGGGAGAAGTCTCCTTTACCATGGTGCCCTAGAGGTGGATCCTGCTCAGGGCTCATCTGCTGCATGACTGGGGGCTGGGATTGTCCCTTGGCAGCACGAAAGGCTGAAGATATGACAGTGTTTCCTTTTAAACTCCTGCTTTTGCCTCCTGCCAGTGGTGTCACAAGGTGATGTTGGAGCTGACGTGAAAAATGGACCCACTTTCCCTTTGGATGCATCGTTTATCAAAATGTCATTCTCCTTTCTGCCTTCTCCTGCCTTCATTGCCCATCCCTTCCCAGTTTGCCCTGTCCATCTCCACCCCCTGAATGGAGACACTCCAGGCCCTGGGTGTTGATGTGTCATGGAATCCTCGAGTGGTTTGAGTCAGAAAGGAGCTTAAATCCCATCTCATCCCATCCCTGCCATGGCAGGGACATCTCCCACTGTCCCAGGCTGCCCCAAGCCCCATCCAGCCTGGCCTTGGGAACTGCCAGGGATCCAGGGTCATCCCCAGCTTCTGTGAAGGAGAATAAGGATCAATACTTGACCAGCTGCATGTTTCAACTTGATGATCTTTGCTGCTAAATTATCAATTACAAAACAGCAAAACCAAACTCTGTGCTTTATTGGGAACATGAAACATTCCCTCAGCCCTTTCTGGAAACCTGCAGGCTCTGGAGTGCTCTGGTCCCTCCTGACTTTATGGATACTGCAGGAAGCAGGAATCTGAATGTGTGCTTGAGTTTTACAGGAAGCAATAATTGTCTCTTTGGAGAGGAAGCACAGATGGCATTCTTCCTATGCTTGCTAGTTATGATTTTTCTGATGAGAACATGGGAATCTCTATTTATTATAAAACTTTGCCTGTCTTTGAGCATCCAGCTCTGCCTCTTCCCATGAAGTGCAACTGCTGAAGGGACCATTCCTTCCTCAAAGGGAATTTCCTTCTGTGGCAAGGTCTGGGATTGAAACTAATTTGGAATCATTAGAGAAACCTCTCCATAGTGTCAGAGAGAAGTTGTTTGTCTTTATTTTTAAAGTTTTATCTATCATTAAAATCAACTTTTACACAATTCTGGGACAGCAGAGAACACCCTCTGCTCCATAAAGGGATTACATTGGTGGTGTATTTATCTGCAGACAACTTGGGAGCCAATGATCTGTTTCAGTCACTCCTCATGTTAGGAGCCTGTTGTATGGGGGGGCTTTTTTTGCCTTTTGACTGAGGTTTTTCTAGGAAAGATGGATGTTTCTTCAGATTGCAACGTTTGACACTAATGACTCTTGTAGCATAGCAAGAGGTGTGTTTTGTTTTGGCATTTTCACTTGGCTTGTGAAAGCAAGGAACTACAGAGGGGGCATTAGCTCAGGTGTAAGGAGATATTTTGAAGTAAATAGCTGGCACTTTTCTATTTTGATAAATGTAACTGCTGTCAGGCAGCGTGGAGTGTTGTGAAGGGGCACAATCAAATAAATGCCTGCATAATTACATTAAGTCAAATAACCTAACACACACAGAGTGGACTGAGCACAGAATCAGCGTGGGCAGGAAAGATCTGGTTTGTGATCCTGGCTTTGCCACTGAGCCTCCTGAATCTGCCTCTGTGTCAGGGTCTCTGCCAGCCACATGGGCTTGTTGTGCTGGGGAACACTGTGATGGGAAGTGCTGCCTCAGGGCCAGGTGTCATTCCTGGTTTGGATGTTATGGATTATTCCACACCAGCCACAGAGACAGATTTGACCTCAGGATCCTGCTAGGAATGCCAAGTCTGCCTGAGGGTTTCCAATTAGTTTTTCCTGGGTTATAATTTGAGCTGGGTGCCTGCAGAGAGGATCCCTGTCCCAGTTCATGCTTCAGAATTATACCTGTGCCATCTAATTACCCAATCCTCAAATCCAACCCCAAAGCCTTAATTCTGATCAGTGGTCCCTTAACTTCTTATCATTTTTTACCAGTCACTGGGCTGGCCTTCTTCTGAAGTTACTTCATTCTCTTGAAAGAGTCTCCTTGGTCCTTATCTTCATTCCACTTGTTTCTGCTGAATTCAGCTCGTTCCTTGCTAGCAGCATTAATTTTCTCAAAGAAGTTTACCCTTGATCAGCTCTTGCACGTGTGAGGGCTTCCTCTGCTGCTGCTGAGCTGCACTAATGCTAAACAAGACTATTCCCAGAAAACACCATTATTAAATTTCCTCTGTTGCACTGGGATAAAGTTAATTTTTTTTCCACAGAGGCTGGTGTGGGGCTGTGTTTCGGATTTTTCTGGAAGGGGGCTGTGTTTTAGATTTGCTGATAGCACAGGTGTGGTGCTGAGCAGAATGTGCACAGGTCAGGGATTTTCTGCCTCTCTCCTAGCCCACCAGTGCCGAGGCTGCACAAGGAGCAGCAGGGGGATAAAACCTGGACAGCTGATCCCAGCTGACCCCAGGGATAACCCACAGCACAGCACATCAGGCTCAGCTTGCAGAGCTGAGGAAAGGGGGATGTGCAGTGTGAGGACATTTCTCCTCCCCAGTCACTCTGATGGAGTCCTGGGGATGGCTGAACTCCAGACCTTGATGGGAAGTGGGGAGTGAATTCCTTGTTTTGCTTTGCTTGCCTGTGCAGCTTTTGCTTTATCTGCTAAACTCTTTATCACAACTCACGAGTCCTCTCACTTTCACCCTCCTGACTCTTCCTCTCTAGGAGGAGTGAGTGGCTGTGTGGGGCTGGGATTAAACCACAACACCTATAATCTAAATAAAATGTTTGTCTTAAGCCCAAATTACAGGAATAGGTGAAGGAAAAGTGACAGAGAAGCCTGTGAGCTGATGGTCTGGGAGATAGCTTAAGACACAGCAGGTGCTTTGTAGGAGAATGGGTATAAATAACATCCTCTCCTTTAAGGAAAGCTTTGCTCAATATTTTTTGAAAGACATTAATAGGTTTCTCATTTTTCAGGTGCTCAGCTGGTGATGTTTCAGAGGCCTGATTTTTAGATTGCAGGTGTGCAGGCTTTTCTCTAGGCATTTCTCTCTGTGTCATTTCAAAATGGATACCTGCAATAAAGAACTGCTTTTGCAAACATTAACTTCATTTTTTTCCCAGTTGCTCTCAGTTTAAAAGCACAGATTTGAGAATTACTTTGGGGTTTTTTTTCCCTAAAACATGAACAAAATCTCTGCTTTCACCCTGGACTCTGCTTAGATCTGGGTCCATCCTTCTACATGGTAAACCAAAAATTGCTTTCTGTAATGCTCTTTTGCCATACTCATGCTGCTGAAAGATGAAGATGTTCGAAGAAAATGTATTTTCTTCAGCTTTGCTTTGCTTTGTGAAGTGTGCTAGGAGGACTTGTGGGCAGCAGGGATATAACAGTGATCAGTTTGGGCTGGATCTGTGGTCTAGACCATTTGCTGACAGAGACCAGAGTTTGCTGCTTTATGGAGAAGTGCAAGGTCTCAAAGCATGGGAGGGTGGAAGGACCAGCGTGGTTTTGTTTTAGGGGAGTCCAGCTCTCTGGCAGACCCCAAGGGCACCTCCTCACCAGCCTGATCCCCGTAGTGTACGGTTATTGTGCAGTAATGTGTCATTTCTCCTCTTCCCCCCTTCCCCTCTGTCCAGCCTTGTGGCCTCATGTGTGTATCCATGTGGGAGTGTCCGACAGGATTGACCCCTTCTCCATCCTCCTGTCCCACCCCCGGTGACTGTCCCTGCCCCTCCAGACTGGGAGCCTGACCCCTGTTGTGTTCCTGTGTTGTGGCACAGGGAGTTTGCCCGTTGGAAGGTGAGGAACACAGCCATCGAGAGGAGGGACCTGCTCCACAACCCCCTGCCCCTGATGCCTGAGTTCCAGAGGAGCATCCGCCTGCTGGGCAGGAGACCCACCACGCAGCAGTTCATCGACACCATCATCAAAAAGTACGGCACCCACCTTCTCATCTCTGCCACCCTGGGAGGTAGGTGGCACCCTGGCTGGCTCCTGCTGAGGGGGGCTGGAGGGTGAGGAAGGCACTGAGCAGTGCTGGAAATGTGCCCAGTTTGGAATGCAGCTCCTGGAGCGAGTGCTGAGGGAGAAGGGGATCTGTGCTGAGGGAGAACTGGGGGAGCTGGGGCTGGGCAGTCTCCAGAGACCTCATTCATGAGGATAATTATCTAAAGGGTATGGACCCTTTTAGGGCCCTTTAGGCATGGACATAATTATCCTAGAGCATGGACCAGGCTCATCTTGGTGGTGCCAGCCACAGGGACAAGAGGAACAGGCAGAAAATGATGCCCAGGAAGTTCCAGCTGAACTTGAGGAAGAGTTTCTTGGGATCATTGGAACAGATTGCCTGGGGAGGGTGTGGAGTTTCCCTCATAGAAAATATTCCAGAGCCAGCTGGGTGCAGTCCTGTGCTCTGGGATGACCCTGCTAGAGCAAATACCTCACTGTGGTCCTTTCCTCTGTGACTCTGAAACCAGTGGGGGCACAGGCCAGGCTGCAGCTGCCCCTCCCAAAGCCCAGATGTGCCCCCAGAGCAGCAGGATGAATTTGGAGTGAGAGGTGGGAGCTGTGTCCCTGTGCTGCTCTGAGCTCTGTGTGTGTCACATAGCTGGGGGACTGTCCTGCCAGCCCTGCACCCCTGCCCTCAGCTTCACAGCAGAACGTGTTCACCCCTCTTTTTTCACAGGATGAAAACAAACACAGGGGGAAAAGCATCCTTTCTTGCTGGAACTGGATGAATTTTAAAGAGCTGCAGGAAAAGGGAGTTCAAGGAGCTGGGCAGGGAGCGTGAGCAGAGGGGAAGAGATGGCCAGGAGGCTGAATGCATTAACATGGAGCAGAGTTGTGGAAAAACAGCAGTTCAGTGAAATTCAAAATGTGTATGCAAGGGCTGCAGAGAGGTCTGTGTGTGCACAGAATGTGTCAGGGATGACATCAGAGAGAGCCCTGTAGGGCCATGAACTCCTGAGCAGGCGCTGCTGGTGGTGCTGCAGGAACATTTTGAGTAGTTACTGTTGAACACTGGAGGCTGAAAATCAGCAGCTCCTATTGATATTTACTCCTGGGTTTTTTTCCCCCCTCTGTATTATTTTCACGGTTCTTTTCCCCCTTTGGGGTGTGCCTTTCTTTCATTTAAATGCTTTTCTTGCAAGAGCAACTATCTGTGAGAAGGATTCTGCAGTAGTAAAGGCTCAGTTTTACTTCAGAATTTGTTGTTGTTGCTCCTTCTAATGCACCTCACCTCCAGCCTTGCCACATTGCCGTGTTTGTAGTGAACTTTGAGGAATTTCTGGCCATCTGTCTGTTCCCAAAGCATTCTGCAGACACTGGGATGAGATTAGATAGATGTGTGCATATGATTCATGCACAAATTAGGTGGTAGGTAAATTGGCACAGTTCCTCTGAAGTCAAATGGCCTCTGGTGTAGCAATGTCCTTCAAAGATCCTTGGGCTGCTCTTCCAGTCCAGACACCCAAACAGATCCATTCCATCAGCAAGAATTGTGAGAGAAAGAAAGTTTTCAAGCATGGAAGAGCACAAGTGACTGCTTTTTCAGCTCTTAATGAAGTCTGGTAAAGATAAACTGCTTTATATCAGGTCCTTTTTTTCAGGACTATGTTTTACAGAGCCCAAGACAGCCAAGTAAAGTCAGATTTTTTTTATAATTTTTTTTTTTTTTTTTTTTTTTTTTTTGGTGTGGGTTTACTTTCTTCCCATTGACATTCCTCTTTTTCTTGCCACTCACATCCATGGAAATTCAAAATAAGAAAGACTTTTGATGGTAAAATATATTTTTAATTTTGCCTGGGTGAGGTTGTAAATTATTCACAGGGGCTTGTTTCTTCTCCTGATTTTACAACACAACAACTTGAAATATGCAGAGACTTGTAATGAGAAGTGGTATTGGAGGGGAGAGCTAAAAGCCCCAGCAGCCCCGAGCGTGGTGAGCAATGGCAGGCAGAAAAAGAGGATTTATCTTGGCAATGGCAGTCCCAGGGAAAATGCAGATGGAGCTGGGCATGCATTATGCACAGAGGACACGCTCTGCTTGCAGTCTGTGGGCTGAACAAGAGCTCTGGGACATGAAAGCAGACATGGCCTGGCTCTCCCAGGACCTGGTGATCCTCAGCAGAGCCACAGCAGCTCTGGCCTGGGTTACAGCTGTGTCAGGGAGGGTGGCAGACACTGACGAGCACACTGGAAATGCTCTGGCTCTGAAACAGCCCCCAGCAGGGTGGGACATGGAGCAGCACCTGGACACAGAAATTTTCACACCTGGCCACAGGAGGAACAGCTCTGGTGCCGTTCAACCTGCACAGCAGCCAGGTGCACTGAGAACCCAGAAAAACCCAGCTCTGCTCCAGCCTGGTTCTCACAAAGGCAGTGGTGAAGGGTCACTTTGAGGGCATCCAGGCTCTGGGATGGAGCACACAGAGCTGAGAGCCAATTTTCAGGAAAATCCCTCGAGGAAAAACAACTTTGAACATATCATTCACTTAATAAAGGAGAAATTAAGACTTAATAATGCAGCAAAATTCTGTTAACCTCTCCTGATCCAAGAGTTGCTTTCCCATGCGACCCCTCCATGGGGATGCTGTGCTTTTCCAGCTCTGCACAGAGCTACACAAAATAGGTTCCCAGCAGCAGTGTCCCTGCTCAGCTCCCCTCAATCCTAGGGACAGCACTGGTCCTGCAGGAAAAAGCTTCATCGCTCATGGACTTTGTTTCCTCCCTTTGGAGGAAAAAATATTTCTGTTTTCTTCCTTTGGAGGAAAAAATGACAACTTTTATGGGGAAATCACTGATCCCCACTGCCCCAGAGCACAGATTTCTCTTCTCTGCTGTGTTTCTTCGTGCCTGGTTCGTGTTGTGCAGGGACCAAACCCAAGAGGAGATCTGCTGGAGATCTGCCACCAGTGCTGCTGCCTGATGTGATTTGACCCAGGCTTCCTGCCTGCCCTCTGGCCATGGCGTTCCAGCCTCAGCATCCCTCTAGTGAAAATGAGCTAGGCTGTAATGAACAAGTCCTGACTTTTGTTGGCTATTAATATGAGGCATGATATTTTTTCCAGGAAAAAGTTTTTTTCCCAGTTATTGGTGCAATTGATGAAGAGTTGATGGCTGTGAATTACAGTTAAAAGGAGAATTATTCCAGATCTTCCTTCTCCTACCACAGCCTCACAAAATGGTGGCAAAGCATCATTTCTCATTTCTCTCTGCTACATCTCCTTGCAGTTAAATGCTTCTGTTACATGGGAGATCCAGAATTCTGGCTCCAAATACACTTTCCCACTGATCCAGCCTCTTCAGTGGCAAATGAGTTGACTCATGAAGACTGACAAAATTCCTTCAAATCCCCCTGAAAAACACCAAGAGATGAAACTTGAAAATGCACTGAGAGTGCTCATTGCAGTGCCCACTGTTCCTCACACTAATCACAGACATTTTATTACCTGTGCCCTGCTGGCTGTTTGTTGTGTTCACCTGTTGTGTCTCATGTGATACAGGGGGTTGATTCCCCTGGAAGATGGATTGTTTTTTTTTGTGTGGACAGAGCCTTGATCCCTGCCAAGGCCTCCTCACAAGCTCAACACATAAAAATGGTAATGGTAATAAAGGAAATCAAAGCAGGTCATTTTGCAGGGAAACTGTTTTTCTGAGAGGTAACAATGATGGCATTGTTACTACCACAGCTTTGATCGTGGTGGAAGGCTAGCCTGTTATTTTTAACAAAATAAAGACAAAGTTTTACATGCCTAGCTTCTCCACTTAGATCCTGCAAAGCTAATTAAAAGATTTCAACTGATCAATTCTTTTGATGAAAAGTACCTCCTTTCCATAAAAATATGGTCCATTTTTCATCTCAAAGCCAGAGGCTGAATCCTCAACACAACTATTGCATAAAAAAATGAAATCTAATAAAAATATTTTGATTTTCAGCCAGAATATTTTTGGTTTCTTTTCAGGCATTTGGCTTTCAGATAAAAGCTGGAAAATTTCCAGGAAAAGTGAGGGGGAGAGCTTACTGGGATTTTGGGTTATTTTTTTCATATATGCAACAAAAGAAATAATTTGTATGAATTGAATTATTTTAACTAATAAGAATTTTAAAGAAAAGTAAGTCCTTGTTCTCTTGAAGAAAATATGCAAAGATGATGAAGAATTAAATTTTTTTGGCCTTGAAAGCAGTGGTACATATTTTTTGGACCATGCTGTCACTGCCAGAGGCAGTGTATTCATCAGTGGCTCATCTATCAAATCAGAACAAGCACCATTCTTCTCATTAGGAGAGTTATGTAGAACTGGCACATTCCTCCTCTAGTTGTGTCTTCTCTTCATTTGTTAAAATCCAAGTTTCATGTGTTAAGGATCCAGGATGGCATTCCACCTTTTTAGACCTCTGACAGCTCCAGCACTGTGTTAAGAGTGAACTGGATTTTCATGTGCCTCACCCATCACAAATTGAACTGTTAGGTAAATATTCCATCTCAGCTTCATGTCCTTTTCAGACATCTTTTGTTACATTCAGGTGTCTGCTGATGTTTATCAGTTCTTAACTGCTTCATTCCCAGATTCTCTCTGGTTACCATTTGAAAATCACCTGCTTTTGTCCCCTATCTTCTATGATATTTTTACTCTCTGCTTATATTCCCTGAATGAGATTCTGAGAGAGGAAAGAAGACAGCAAAGGTGGTTAGTTCAAATTAACTTTGTTATTTGCTCTTTCCTGAATTAATTCTCTTTAGTCATCCCCTTTCCCCTCCCCTTTTGCAAGGCTGCTGGAAGCTGAAGAGGCCCAGCTAGCATCTGTTTGTCCACTGTACCTGCCTGCACACTGTGTTCTATTTGCAATCATCATCTATTCCTTCTAGAAATCAGGTCAGACAGAGACTTGCTTAAAGTGGGATCTTCTCCTGTCAGGTGTGCATCACTCTAGAGCACTGCCTACAGAGAGAATGGTCCTCGAGTGGGACAGATGTGCTCAATCCTCTCCAACAGTTGTGGCAAAGCTCTGCTGGCTAAAAAATGTCCAAAACCTTGTCTACTCAATTCATCAGAGCTGCTTTACTTGTCTGGTGGACTTGGCTTTGCTGTCTAAATAAAGAAGTTTCTGTAAATCCTGGGGATCCTGGTGCTCGTGAGGAAGAGTGGATTCCTCCAGGAGTGCTTTAGGTGTAGGATTTTCTTTCTTTAGGTGCAGTAGATGTCACCATTTGCTCCTGTTAAGATGGCCCTGCCTGGCAGCCTGAAATCTCCTTTTCTTTCTGCTGCAGGAGAGGAGGCCTTGACCATGTACATGGACAAAAGCCGCCTCGACAGAAAGTCAGGAAACGCCACCCAGAGCGTTGAAGCTTTGCACCAGCTCGCGTCCTCCTACTTTGTAGACCGTGATGGCACCATGAGGAGACTCCATGAGATCCAGATCTCTACCGGAGCAATCAAGGTACCACATATTGCCTTAGGAAGAGGAAAAAGATTTTCTGCCTTACATGGATTCTCTAGGGATTTGGGGCAGGACTTTGCCAGTCTGATGTCCTCTTTGATTGCAAGTTGTTTTGTTCCCAGGGTTAGTTTTTCTCTTATTCAACTGAAGAATTGATTTCCCCAGGACCACTAATGTCTGGAAAGAGGTGGAAATCCAGTGTGGCAGTTGTGTAGGGTAGGATCTTTCACTAAAAGTGACAGTGACTTCTGGAAGGGAGAGAGGGAGCAGAGGACCCAGATCAGTGACAGAGGTTGGAAGGGAAAGACTGGTCTGTGAAATGAACAGCCCTGTGCCATGCAGGAGTATTTATCTCCTGGGGGTGTAAGGCTGCAAAACATCTCTCAGCTGAATTTGCTACAAGAAAAGGTGAAAAACTCAGTGTGGCATTACTGAGGCATCTGGAATGAAACGGACTGAGAGACAGCTTGGGGGTTGCAGCAGGAAGGAAGGGAAGCTGCTCAGAGAATACAAAATAGGGAAAATGGCTCTGCAAAGGCTGCCTTCTCTGAAAGCAATCATCCTACAGTGGGCATGGATTTTATTGTTGCTGAGTTCACTCCAGGGAAGGTGATGTGGATGGAGTCGTCATTGTTAGCCATTTCTGAAAGGTTTCAGCTCTCGTTATTGTTCTGTGCTGTCTCATGGCTGAGTCTGTTCCCTTCTGGATGGGAAATTGTATTGAGATATTGAAACAGTGACAGCAGATAATCACCCGTGGTGAATTCCAGAAGGGCAGCCCTCCTCCATGGCTGGAAACCAACAGCAGCAGCAGCACTGCAGGTCATCTGTGCCTCCATCCTTCCTCAGCACATGGCTGGTGTTCACATCTGTCGTGGGAGCACCAGGCACCACTGTGGCCTGGCAATCCATCTCTGTTTCTTGCTTTCCAATAAGAGAAGCCAGGGAATAATTCCTCTACAGGCTTCTGATGTTCTCCAGAGGAGATCCTCTGTAAGAAACATCAATCTGCAGGATCCCATTGCTAAGCCAGAATAACCTAAGGTACCCTAAAGAAAACAGCCACAATTCATTCTGATTTTTCAGCTCGTGGCTGCACCAAACATTAGCAATGTCTGTGCAGGGTGGGGCATTTTTTCCCAACTAGGGAAGATGTGCTTTGAGTTATATCAACCGGTGACAAGGAGTCCTTGAATTAAAAGAATTAAAAAGCCTGGGGAAGGTGTGGTGCTGCAGTCCAAGGGAACATTCTCTCTTTTCTACATCCTCTGTAGGTAACAGAAACTCGGACCGGCCCCCTGGGCTGTAACAGCTACGACAATCTGGACTCTGTGAGTTCTGTCCTTCTGCAAAGCACTGAGAGCAAACTCCACCTGCAAGGTAGGGCCCAGGAGCCAGGGAAGGGGGTGGAAATGGGACAGGGTTGCCCTTTTCCCTTCTCTTTGCTGCGATTCTGCTGTGTCTGGAAATCCCCTGAAGCTTCTGGTGGCTTCACATGAGGCTCAGCTGAGCAGAGCTAGGGTTGGCCCCAGCGAAGTGCCCTCTACCTCTGAATTTTGGTGGACTTCTGTGTATGACACTCACACCAACATAAAAAATGTGACCTCTTCCATCAGTGTTGAAGGAGAATTCTGCCCACATCTCTCTGCCCCTCCCGAACTGCTGATTTGTGTAAGAGGTTTGCAGATCAGCTTTTGGGGCTCTCTAATGACCATAATCTTTGGGAAAAGTCACAGAGGTTTTATTTGGATGCTAGAAGCCATGGCTTCAGTCCCAGATGGGGAGCTAGTCCAGAAGTCAACAGATAGAGGTCATGGCTGAATTAATAAATAAATACATGCTGGTTAGCAAGAAGTCAACTTGAGTAGAAGGAGGAAATTCACTGGCCATGTAATTTACAAAGGTTATTCCCAAGTTTTTGACAAAATAAGGAAATGTGGGATTTAATTGCTCATTTGCCCAGATGGTTTTATTTCTCGAATCCTTGTACTTGCACAAATTTTAATTTTTCAGATGAATGGGCTACATTACATCTTCTGCTTTGAGTATAATTTGGCAAGTGCTGTTTTAATCTTTGGTTTCACAGAAACTGGGTTTCATTTACCAAGTAATGTTGTGGATATAATATTATTGTTGTTATTATTTGCCTTTAAAAATAATAGGCAGGTTGTTTTCACTGTGCTGGTGATTATCCAAATCACTGAGTTCTGGTTCTTACCTAATTAACAATAAGCAGTTTGAGGGGTTTTTTACACTGTGATGATAGCTGCTGGTAATGAAAACCAAAGGATGACACATGAGATAAGTGGGGAAGCAGCTAAATCAGCAGGCAGCTTGGGTTATAGGCAGACTAGTGGGTAAATCAATAGACCTGTATTGGTTATCTGATCCTACAAGAGAGGAGATAAACCAAGGGAGCAGGGAGGAGGTGGAGGAAGAGGGAAAAATTAGGAGAGAGAGAGGGGATGAGGCTGTGATCTCTGATGGGAGCAGAGAGAGGCCAGCCACAGGTGGGTTTCATGGAGCTCCATGGCTGAGCCCAGGGCAGGGGGAGGCTGGAGCCAGGCCAAAGGAGATAGCAAGGGAAGGGAGGAAGGCAGGAGCTCTTCCTCATAGAACAGAGTGACCTTTAAAGCTCCACCTGAGTTTTCTACCTAATCTGGAGAGTGGTTCTTGGGATAATTACCCAGGATCCTTGCTCGGCTCTGAGAGGCCTCATTACAAATTAGTCACAGGGCTGCAGCAGGTAATGGATCGTGACCAAGTCTCCTCTGATCTGATTAGCAGCCGAACATGGGCTGCTGACAGAAATCCATGTTCCTGCCTTTGTGTCACTCCAGCTCTGAGCCTGGCTCAATAAAAGAGCCACTTCTTCGTGACAAGGAGAATTTCTCTGTCTCAACTTGCAGCTGCCCAGCCCCAGGAGAGGAGGTTTCAAAGCTGTGCCTCTCAGGAGAGACAGTGGGTGCCCTGGTCTGGTTGACAAGGTGGTGATCAGTCAAAGTTTGGACTCCATGACCTTGGTGGTCTTTTCCAGCCTGAATGATTCCATGAACCCACGTAGGGGGTGGGCAGGTTGATTTCGGGAGGATGGTGCAGGGTGTCTGGGGCTGGGCTTGTGGTCACTGGAACAATAAAGAATTACTAATTTATAAACCATTATCCTTGTGGGCCCAGTATACACTGGGATATATATATACACACATATATAAGTATGTAAAATATTGTGTATATATATGTACACATATTTATCACAGAAGGTCTCCCTTTTTCCCAGCACTCCCTGGAGCAGGATCCCTGTGGTGATGCAGGGCAGGATGCCAGAAGCTCTACAGCAGCCCATTGGGAAAGGAGAATCTGTGTTCCCTGGACAAGTGTCCTGGGCAGAAATTGGAAATTTTGACTGAGAAAAAAAGCAACACTTTAAAAAATTTCAGGAAATCCAAATTTCAGAGGCATGTTGAGTTATATCAATACAATAATTGACAGTATATGTCAATATTGGAGCACTGCAATATTTCAGTGAGGTACAATCCCTCTGTGATGCTCTAAACTGTGCAACAATAAACAGAAAATGTTGCATATCAGGTCATTTGCTACATCAAATATGGTCATATATTATAATACTATACATAATGCATGTTATACACAATACTTATATAATATTAACTATACTTTATTTCAATATTTAATATTATATTGTTGTATATGTGTAAATACCCTTATATATTATACTTACGTAATGACATCATATACATACATGGTACATATGATAGTATAACATTTGAATTTACATTACAATTACTATTAAAGCTTTTTCCAGGATGGGCAGAAAATTAATGGCAAGACAAAACATTTCAGCTTTTCAGTGCAGTGAAATGAGGGAGTATGAAAAAATACATTTAGAAAGTCAAAAGTGCTTTTGGAGTCAACATGCTCTCACAAAATGCTTCAATGGAAACTGCATTTTCAACAGAGAACTCTTCTGTGAAAAATGTTTCAAATAGCTCTAATTTAGAGCTGGGGAAATTTACCTCTTTTAATGCAGGAAGCCTTTTATATACAGTCTAAAGCCAAACATCTCTCTCTAATAGTTTTTCTCGGTGAATTAAGGACATGTTCCCTTGTCAGATACTTCATACTCTACCTGTAGTTATCAGAGATAAACCTATACCAAATCTGTGCTGCTCTTCATTTTTAAAGTGGAATTTCATGCTTTACAAAGTGGCAGAATTCCTCCTCTGATCAATAAGTTACCTTCAAAACTAAGATATTCAAGACAGCAGCAGTCTCACCTTGTGCTTCTGTTACCAGCTCCCATTCCCTGGGCCCCTGGCTTGGAATGAGGGATCCTCCCCGTGGAAAAGGTCCAAATATCCCAGTTTTTAAGACCAGCTTGCCCCTCTTCTTGGCTGCTGACATGAGGTTGTTTCATCAGTAGACAACAGTGAAAAACTGAATATATATATATATATATATGTATTTTTTTTAAATGTTCCCAATATCCAAATAAATTTCTTAGACAACACCACAGCACTTGTGATGTTTTATTAGGGTTGTGGCTGGCAGCAGGGCTTTCCCAGCTAACCCAAGCTGCTCAGTGGGGCTGTTTTATTCCTTGGGATCGCAGCTTTCCTGCCTTACAGGGATCTGAAGCACCCAGAGCAGTGGTCTCGAAAGATTAATGCCACCTGTGCTTTACTGACAGCCATAACCCACTGAATTCCAGCAATATTTAGTCCCTGGGCATGGACAGAAGTACACATGAAAGAGAAGATGCCAGGACTGGGTGAGGCGCAAAATCTCTTGCTGAGATCTGATCACAGAGATGCTCAAAACTAAAGCAAAAAGAAAAAATTGGTATGAATCTGCCCCTGTCTGGGGATGATGAGGAATCTGTGAATATTTATGTGTGCATACATAAAAGTACTTCTGTGGAAATAGGCACAGCTGTATTTCAGTAGCACTGATTTCTTCCACAAGGAAATTCCTGGCTGGAAGATGTGAGGCAGATGTGATCCCAACAGCCTGATTGAGATCAGGCTGTTGTTTTTGGAGAGCACACACTGGTGCTCTGATGAGTGGCTGGATTTGGGGGTCACTTGAGCAAACACAGCTCTGAGGGTGTGCTTCTTGTCAAATGCTTCAGGCAACTGATGGGTTCCAGCAAAACTGCTTTCCTGATGAAAGTTAAGTATTTATATAAGTGCTTTGTTGAGTTGGTGCTATGTGTGCAGAGGTCTGATTGCCCCATAAACATGATATTATTTCTTACAAGAGGAGGTTATCCTGGAAATGTTATTTTTTTTTTCAGAAACCACGAGTTTTATCAGCAAAAAGAGAGTATCCATGTGAAGCACTGCAGTGCTAAAATATGTTGTGTTTTGGAGATTACAGGGTATTCATGTTTCATCTGCTGGGGTGCACAGTGGATGTTCCTTGCAATGGCAGGTGCTTTCCTTGAAACTTCAGTTTCTTTTTTCACACCTATTCCCTCTAGGAAAAAAGAAAAGAAAAGGAATATTTTATTTTAATATTTATAAAAGAAATAAAAGAAATAAAATATACTATTACTACTACTACTAAAATAATAATAATAATAGTAATAATAATAATAATAATAGTAATAAAAATAAATGAAATAAAAATCTCCAAAGCCAGGATAATTTTTAGCTGGGACCAAGCCGCTTGTTGTGCTTTATCCAAGTTAAAAGAGAAACTATGGAGAACTTAAGAGCCTGAGGTAATTTGATCATATTCAAAGAGCCAGAGCAGGTTGCTCCTCCATGAAGCAGAGTGGAAAATGTATTCATGGGACTTGGACCATGAATGAAGAGTCAATGCACATCAAGAAGTCCAGCTCTGCTCTCATGTGAGCTTCAAAGCTCAGTGAGTACAGCTGCCTTCGGGCTCCCCAGTTCCCTTTGTGAATCAGTTCTCTGTTAGCACTGCACTTCCATTCCATCCTGAAGGAAAGTTTGGGATCTGGCAGGTGGGACCATCACCAGTATCAGTGTGAGGATTTGACAAGGGACAGCCCCTCTGTAGTGGTTCTTTCAGATAAATCATAGAGTCCCTGAGTGGGATTAGAAGGGATCTTAAAGCTCATCCCATTCCACCACCCTGCCTTGGACAGGGACACCTCCCACTGTCCCAGGCTGCTCCCAGCCCTGTCCAGCCTGGCCTTGGACACTGCCAGGGATCCAGGGGCAGCCCCAGCTCCTCTGGACACCCTGTGCCAGGCCCTCACTGCCCTCACAGGGAAGAATTCCTTCCTAATGTCAAAGCTAAACGTACTCTGTTTAAAGCCATTCCCCCTTGTCCTATCGTTACAAGAGGCTGAGCTTCAGGACTTGCTGAATGCAGCAGGAAGAAATCTGAACTTCTTTTGAGACACATCTCAGAAAAGACCAAAGGGACCTCAAAATGATGATCCTCTTCAGGCCAGTTTTGAGATGATTGCAGGGATGCTGTACTGCTCAGCTCTTTGTGTGTTCCTTCCACTCCCCTGTAGCAATGCAGAAAAGGCAGCAAGATCTATGCAAGAATAGTGTCTCTGAACGCCAGCCTGGAAATCCTTCCCTCTGCAGGTACCACAAACGTATTCCCAGCTGGAGGGTGCTCCAAGCTCATCCTGTCTGGAGGCTGCCAGTGGGGCCAGGCAGAGAGGCAGCTTGCTGCCACCAGGCATGGTACTCAGCAGACCAGGGGGAGAGGAAACAGGGCTCCCTGGGCCTTCCACTGCCTCCTGAGCCCCCAAACCTGCTCTTCCAGAGGGACCTCATTACGACTGAGGTGCTTCTCTGGATCCAAAAGCAAAAGGGTAATGGGGTCCCAGGGTCACCACCTGCTGTTTTTCTCTTGTCTGAGGTGGACACAACCCATCAGAGATGGGCCTGCACGCCTGAAAGGGGTCACAACCCTTTTTGCCATTCCTGCACACTCTCATCCTCTGAATTATTGTCTGATTTTCATTCCACTCCAGTGAGCTGTCAGGCACGGATCTGGTAATTCAGCGCAGCAGAAACACAAACAGATGGGTAATTGACCCTCGTGCCTTCATTACACCGGGGTCCATAAACTCCTCCCGCTGCCACTCCAAAGTCCCCGGCCTTTCCCAAGTGGGGTCCCCTGAAAATCTCGCTCAGAGTCACCGTCCTCTGCCTCGTGCACCACAGACACTGACAGGGGCTGACAGGCAGGACTTGCCAGGTAGAGGCAAACAGCTGTGAATCCTCAGGGACATCCGCAGGGAGCGGGGAGGAGGACGGGGTGGAAACCACGTGCGCCGCGCAAACACTTAAACTGCCATTACATCCTGAGCAAGGCTGCACTTCCACTGGTGCCTGCACAGATGGATGGATACACAAACACTTGCCATGAAGAAAGGGACAAGGGGATAGATCTCCCTGCTAATGTAAGTCTGCCAAGCAACACTGAAATCATCGGCACTAAATCCATTTGCACTTTTATAGGATTTGGCAAGTGGCCTTCCTAGCAGGGAGCAAGCTGCGAAGGCTCAGGTGCCCAACTCCTGTACTTATGCTCTGGGAACTGGGCACTTAACGCTGCAAGGGTCTTTTATAAATCCCCTCTCATGTTATTTTCCTTTCTTCTGTTTTCTGTTCCTTCTTATTTTTCCTTTCAGGGTGTATTTTCCTTTTTTCTGTGGTACCAAACCCATTTAGTGGCTCAAAACAGGTCAGAGCAGCATAATGCTCATTGCTTCTGAACTAGCACTTGGTTTCAGCAGACAAAAACCACCACACCTGGGAATAAAGGAGGCTTTGCATTCAGGGCCTTTGTACTGTGCTGGGATCTGGGAACGGGATGAAGGGCTTTTGGGGAAGGAAGTTTCTTGTCACCCTTCTCCCACAGAGGAGATAGGCTCTGCTCTCAGCTAAATCACTATTTGCCCTGGAGGGATGCATTTGTACCTTCCTTATTCACGACAGCTTTTAATTCTTTACCACAACTTTCCCAAACTGTTAATGAAACAGGTTTTGAAAAGAGGAACAAATACCCAAAATTACTTTTTTTAATCACTTTTTTTCCCCTCCTATAACCCTGTTGTTCTCTCTCCAGGTCTCCAGATCATCTTCCCTCAGTATTTACAAGAGAAGTTTGTCCAGTCTGCCTTGAGTTACATCATGTGCAATGGGGAGGGCGAGTACATCTGCCGGGACAGCCAGTGCGGCTGCCAGTGCTCCGAGGAGTTCCCGCAGTGCAACTGCCCCATCACTGACATCCAGATCATGGAGTACACCCTGGCAAACATGGCCAAGACCTGGACAGAAGCCTATAAAGATCTGGAGAACTCAGGTAACTGAGCAAAACTCGCTTTTTCAATTCGTGGCTGGTCGTAAAATCTTTTATTCCCTCGGTATAATGCTCTAATTTGGCTAAAAAATAGAGGATATTGAACCCAACCCCAGGATCTCAGTGCTGAGGGCATACCTTTTCTTCCTCTATTAAACACACAGACAGGAACACACACCACACATGAATTATGTGTACAGGGATATTTTCCTGCATATGTTTGGTTAAAAATCTGATTTTTTTTCATACCAAACCATCTCCAAATCTCTTTTAATAGTTCTGTGGAGAAGCTTGCACAATATGAATGATGCAGAAATTGCTTTTCAGATTTGCATGAATGCTTTATTCTGCTTTGGTGAAAGCATTTCAGAGGGAGAGGAACACACAGGCCAGATGACACCTCCTTTGAGGCAGGGAGGAGAAGGGAAATGTCTTCTCTCTCCTGCAGGGCAGTGTCTGCTGCTGGGAACATTTCTCTTTTCCACTTTCTTCCCAGGTGAGGCTGGGGGTGTCAGTGGAGTTTGTTCCATGTTGATACTGGTAGTGGGAGTAGTTTACCCAGAGTGGATGTGTTGTACTCACAGGATACACACTCCTGAGGGCTTGAGGTAGGAAAGAGCAACTCTTGCAGTGAATTCTATCCTTTAGCAAGTGGTCTGCCTGCCCTGAAACCACACAGGCACTAAAGCAGAACTCCATCAGGAACTTGTCCTTGTGCTGACTCTCATCTTTCAGTCTTAACCAGCCACTTTCCAACACATTTTCTTCAATGACTATTATCACAGCTACCCAGATCTCCATGTCAGGAAAGAAAACTGTTGAGAAAGGAACCATCTAGCTCAATTCAAGAAGAGTTCTTCATAAGTTCTCTTACTTCATGCTGAAGGTCACCTTAATCCCTTTAAAGGCTGAAATGCAGTAGCCTGTGATGTTTCCATGAAGGGCTGTTGAGGATTTGCTCATACTTCAACACGTGGCCCCTGCTGGTGTTTGTGCTGCTGCACAGATCCTTCTGTCCCACTCCTGCTGTCACCCTGGTGCTCAGCTGAGCAGCCAGAGTGGGAGTTCGTGGCCCAAGGCTAATGACCATCCTGACCAGACCCCCCATGCACCCTGGGGAGCCTGGGCTGGCTTCCAGCAGCAGGTCACCAGCTAACGAGGTCAGATGCTTTCTGTGTTTCTATGGGTTCATGGATAGGGTGGAGAACACCAGGGCAAACTGGAAGTGTGGATTTTGGGAGCTTTTGCCAGCTCAGCACTACACAAGTTTACAAGGATTACTGGTGGTGCCTGCCAGCACAGCTCTGCCACTGGTTATGTGTTACCAGTTAGTTCTGGCACAGGATATTCACAAAAGGTGGTCAAGAGCCACAGGTTGGTGTCATCAAACCCTTCCCCTTCCCAGGGGATCTAACCCAGGCACTGAGAAAGTGGGAGCCCTGTGGAGAGGGGAGTTCCAGTCCCACATTCTGTCCTTGCTGCAATCTATCCAAGCACAGGCTGGGGTAGATAATTACACTCAGGCTCCCTTCCCTTGAGATTTGAATGGGGGAAGGTGTTTTTCATTTGCCATGTTAAAGTGACATATTGCAATGCAATTTCTGCCATATTCCACCCAGGGCTGGAGGCTTTTCAGGGCTAGATGGAGTGATTATCTTTATGTCTAAAGCTGCTGCATCTGATTCATCATTTTGATGCATCATGCGTGAACTTATCCTTTGAGATGGAAGTTGCTATCACAAAAGACTGCAGTATTAGTGTTTTGCTTCTTTGTTTTAATAAATATTCCCAGTGACTAGAGGATTTTCTTCATTATGAACAGCAGAGGAGAAATCTCTGATGACATCTGAAGGCTTTTCCAATAAAGTGGACTGAAAGGCACAAGAGTGCTCTGAAAGCAAATACCATTTTGCACAGGAAGCTACTGAAAGTCCAAAACATTTGTATTCTGCTTCTGGTCTGTGCTGGATCCTCTGTTAATTTGAAAAAATCCTGCAGGGCGAATCAAGAGTTGCTGTGATTTGGAATAGTATCTTCAGTCAAGGAGGCTGCAGTGAACTGAGGCTGCTTTGAATCGGCTCAGGAGGTTTTTTAGCCCTGTGCTTCACTGCTTGTGGGTAAATTGAGAAAAATAACACTGCCTTATTCTTGGCATTTTAGAATGGCTGGTCAAAAAAAATCTGTGATTGTGGATTAAAAAAGCCACAACTTTTAATTAAGTAATTTGGTGGAGTTTTATCTGTTAATTTGTTTGTTTATTCAAGATTATTGCTTTCTGATGTAAATGGATTTTTTTTTTCCTTTTTAACACTGGCAAAAGGAAGATTTCATCTGTGAAAGAGATGTCTGACCTGTCAATTCCCTGTGGTGCCACTTGTGCTGCTGAGTCATTGCCATGGGACTGCCTTAGGGATGGGATGACTCCGCAGAAAGAGGGACCAAGCTGCATCACGGGAGGTGTAGTTCCAGCCATCAGCAAGGTTTGCTGTGCAGAGGAATAAAACAACAACAAATGCAAACAGACTTGTTAATTAATTGGAAATTCTCAGAGTTAAGAATGAACAATTCCCAGAAACAGGGAATATTCCCATCCATGCCACCGGTTTCCAGGCAGAGTTATAAAAAAAATATAAATAATGAAGAAACTATGTTGTTTTTAAAGTACTTTTTACATTTTTTTTCCCTTCATCACCCTAATTTTAAACAACCACATCCAGCTTTTATTTTGCCAGATTTGCTGCTCATTTGTTTTTCCCCCAACGTTGCACTGCGGTAGCAAAATGTGCACACTGCACCGAAATTCCTGCCTTGCCCGTCTCGATGAAAAATGTAGCACATTCATCATCAGAGGGAAAAGAGCTTGGGCTCCTGCACAAAAAGGCTTTTGAGGAAATTGATTTATAAGGGGCGGGAAGCAAACGCAAGGCTTTTACTGCTGAAAGGTACCCGGAGTAATCAGCATGGTCAACAGAAGCAATTATTCGTGATGGAGGTTGCACAGCCCCGCGGAAAAGCACAGAGCTGGGTTTGGGGAGGAGAAGGGCGCTGGAAGCAACATTAAAAACAGAGTGAAAACCTGAGAGATGACTAAAAAAATATCTCTTGGTTATCTTAGTGGGGGAGGAAGGAGACGAGCAGATGTCCCACGGATGTTGGTAGGGCAGTGATGATGATTATTTTTATTTTGGTAGTGCAGTGATGATGATTATTTTTTGGTTACATCGTGTGATGAGTAGGATGTGAACATCTATTTGCCATCCATGTCAAGATGAGACTGACTAATATACAGATATCCTTTGTTAGGCAGTTAAGAATGAACTGGAAGTTGATGAATAATAGAAAATCTGTTATGCAAATATCTTTAACTTGGTACCATGGGATGTAAATTATCTGGTCTGATTTTCTCCACTAATTCTATGGATTATTTCTTTATATTTGAAAAGATATTAGCCTTTACAAGCTCTCATTTTTCTTCTGAAAATAGGATGAAGGAATTTAAAAAAAAAAAAAAAAGGTTTGGGAAGGGTCAGAAATAATGGAGATAATGTAGAGGAAAAGATGGCTATACTTGTTGGCTTGTTTGGGAAGTTTATGGCAGGGTTCTAGTCCAGTCCCCCTCTACAAGCAGGACCACAACCAGAACTAGGTCAGGTCAGCCTTGGTTTTGTCTAAAATGAGAGATTTTTATACATCTCTGATCATGTTCCAGTGCTGCATTACCTCCAAGTGATGAAGTTTTTCAGTAAATCGTTTTAATTTCTCAAGCTGCTAACTTGTTGTACTGCTAACTTGTCTTCCTCCTTGTTATAGCAACAGTCTCTCAAAAGAGGAGTTTTTTTCATATCTGTGAGCACCTTTTGAGCAGTTGCTGCTGTAATTAAATATCCCTTGGCCTCTTCTTTAAACCAGTGCAGCTCCCCACACCTGACTTTGCAGAACTTGTGCTCAGGCCCTGGAGCACCTTGGTGTCCCTGAGCTCTGCCCTCCCAGCCTGTTCATCCCTTTTAGGTGGGTGCCCTGGGTGGAGCAGTACCAAGAAAAGGTGCATTTCAGCTTCCCCAGCCAGCTGGATTCAGCCAAGTATGAAGTTTTTTTCTAGTGAGAACAGGATGTTGACCCAGCTCAGCCCCCAGGACCTTCCTCAGCTGATTGTGCCCAAGCCTGTGCTGACACGTGGGGCTTTTCTCTCCTGGTACAAAACATGGCTCTTGTCATTATTGCATTTTATGGAGTTCTTATTGTCCTACTCATTGCATTTCTCAAGGTCTCACTGTGTCAAATATGGTTTACTAACATCAAAAATTGAGTTATTTTCCCCTGAGAAAGTTGGAATCATCTCTTTTTTCCCAACTGAGGATGTCCCAGCCTGGTAATCAGAGTCTGAACAAACCACCCTTCTCAGGTAGGAAGGGCTGACCATAAACAGAAACAGCATCAGGATTTCTGATTGTGATGAAAAATTACCTCTCAAACAAACCCTGCATAACAGTGGGTTTTTTTTCATTAGCAAACAAAATAAAATGGAAATAAAGTGATCAAAAAACAACAAACAGAACAAATAGCAACACTGAGCAATGTATTTTTTGATCAATTGGATTTGTACCCTTTGGCTAAAATTGACACCTTTTGTTCTCACCCAAAACCTGCAAACTATTCTATTTTATTTTCCTCATTACAAAATACAACTCATTTAACTTCAAATGGAGTTAAATGAGAGGTAAGAATCAGTATGCTCTTTTTAAAAAATGCGAAAGCAGGACATTTTAACAACATCCATACCTTTCCTCTGGGGAATTTTTAAAGCTTTGTTTTTCCCCTCTTTTTTTTAATTAAGCAACAAAATGCTTTGCCTTCAACAACAAACAGCATTTCAGGAGCAGCTGAAAAACAATATAAATGAGAACTCTTTAACTGACAATGATTACAACTCCCAGCTTTTTGTTTACAGCCCTTAGACTATAACCTCATATTCCAGGGAATTTCTCTCTTTTTTTTTTACTTCTCCACCCTGTACACTTCAACTTTGTTGTTTCACCTTGATGTTATAAACCATATATAAACATATAAACCACAGGGGTTTTTTTTCCTAAATGGGAGCAGCAACAGCCATGGAATTTGTGGTTTCCTGGGGCAGAATGACAGACCAGTTACTAATTTACCTTTAACTAATGGACATCACCTTCCCCTGGCAGAGCTGAAGAACTCTCATTCCTCACAGCTCCTTCTCCACCCTGCTAATGAAAATCTTTGTAACTGTTACCGCTCGGAAACCGCCGTATTTCTCCCCATTTCTTCTGTGTGTTGCAGATGAGTTTAAATCCTTCATGAAAAGGCTACCTAGCAACCACTTCCTGACCATTGGGAGCATCCACCAGCACTGGGGGAATGACTGGGACCTGCAGAACCGCTACAAGATGCTGCAGAGCTCGCTGGAAGCCCAGCGCCAGAAGATCCAGCGCACTGCCCGCAAACTCTTTGGCCTCAGTGTCCGGTGTCGGCACAATCCTAACCACCAGCTGCCTAGGGAAAGGTACCTCCATCCTTCCTTGGGCATGGGGGAGCTGGGCTGGGGGGCTGGTGGAGCTGAGCTCGGGCCCAATCCCAGCAGTGTTTTGTAGGGTGTGTTGGCATGGACATTTGGGGAAACAGTCAAATCTGAAATTCCTGGAGGTGTAGGTAACTTTTGTCACATTCCTGATTATACTCACGTCCCTTCTGTGTGGTTTTACCTATCCAGGGGGAGGGCATCACTTGTTCCCTGTTCCCAGCATTGCCAGGGGACCCCGTGTCCAGTGAGCAACAGTCAGAAAACACTGTAAAGGAATTCTCACTCAGGGCTTGGCCTGTACATCATGCTTATTTTCACTTTAGAATCATGGAATCACTGAGGTTGGAAAAGACCTCCAAGATCATCAGGAATATCAAGAACACGTTTAGTCTGTTCTGCAGACTAAGCTGCTTTTTTGTGGTTTTCCCTCAAGATCCACAGCTGAGTTTTCAGCCTCCACTTGCTCCACTTGTGGAGCACAAGGTGCTTCAGCCCATTTTTGGATGGTGCTCCTCAGTATCTCCAGAGTGAAAGGAGAAGCTTTAGTTTCACTTGGAATACATCACATTTCTGCTGTCAGATGCAGCGTGAACCTGTAAAACCTCACTGAGCAGAAGCCTTGCAAGGTTATTACAGGTGGAGAGAGCAGATTTTCCATTACTGCTACAGCAACTATTGATATCTAATAATCCACTCCTGCTGGCTCCTTTCAGCCCTAACCTGTAGCTGGGTTTGCTTCAAGTCATTTTTGGAGACTTGCATTTCTGGATTTTAATAAACATCTCTTGCTGTGCCTTTCTACATTGTCTGGACTGAAGCAATACTGAAAATCCTGGGGGAAAAAAATAATAATGAGTCTGAGTGCCTTTTCTTCCATGCTTCCTTTGGAAGGGTCAGGTCATGTTAATATTTGAAGAGAAACTGTTTATCCACTTCCTTCCTTTAGGTAATCCTAAATATTCATTTTCAAGACAAAATTGACAGACTGACTGCTGTCTACTGCTCTCATCCAGCTCCTTGGCTGCTGAACACGCTGACTTTTCATTTCATCACTGTGCAGCTCAGAAAACTCTTCCAGGGCTTAACACCTCTTTAATTACCAAGGAATCTCATGTTTCTAGACAAAGATTTGATGGACTTACTAGGGATGAGGAGAAATATCTATTAAATGTAAGAGATTATGAAATAAAGTCTTTGGAGATCTTCCTAAACCTGGTCCATCCCTGCCAACTGGCTGAGCTGTCCTGACCAGGTGGAGAGCTGGAGGAGCCACAGGCATGCCCAAGGTGGAATTTTTTTAATTGTGCCATAGCAACAGCTACAATAACAACAAAGTGAAGCAGCAGTGAGGAAATCTCCATCCAATCACGTTGCTCCAAAACATTCAGACAAATATGTCTTCAGCATTTATCATCTATTTTAAAAACACAGCCAAGCAGAAAGGGAGCCTCCAACTACTACAATGAAATCTGGGGGAAGGGGGGTGGAATGGATGATGGCAGATGGGTTTTTAACTGACTGATGTGCTTGATTTGTTTAAGTCAACATCAGCAGGCATATTATCATTTCTTTTCTTGTTTGTCATTCTGCATCTGCAGCTAGGCAGGGGAGCAGTGTGGTAGGAGCTCTGTAGTGGAAGAGGTGCAGCCCATCTTTCTCCTCACAGAGCTGGGAAATACTCTCATTTTCTAATTGTTGCTGTACAGAATGACAGAGGATTATCAAGCATGCCAGTGGCTTTGAAAGGATTTCATGGTTCTATTAAGAGCAAGCCTCTCTTTAATACACATAATTGTAAGCCTGCATTATACATTCAAAGGCAATGTAAAAAAAAAAGAAATGAGATTGCTGTTGATTGTCCTCAGGGAAAGAAAGAGGTGGTGTTTCCAAAATGAAGATAAGAAAGGAAGAGTAGGGATCCTGGCAATTAGGCTTATTCTCCATGACCCTTTGCTTTGGCTAGAAATATTGATTTCTATATATCTAAACTATATATCTATATATCTATATACCTATATATATATATATATATATTTCCTATAGATATATAGATAAAGGTATAGATATATAGATATACAGATATATAGATATATAGATATATAGCTATATAGATATATAGGTACTGATATATTTGGTCTGTACCTCTTTTGTCAAAACCCAGGAAGGTTTAAAGTTTAAAACAAAGTCAAGTCTGTTGGTTCAAAAAGGAGACCACTCCTCAGTTAATAAATCTGTGGTGTAGAATGCTTACCTGTAGTTTTATTTTAAAGCACTGGATGTAAAATAGAAATAACATTCAATGGAGACAGGGGTTATACATGTTCTGGCTTTCAGCCAAAATACATCTCACAGCTGCTGAGAATAAAAATAGCATTTTTTACTTCACTGTTCTGTACAGAAAATGCAAAAGTACCCCCAGAGCAACTAGCACTGATTGGAAAGGTGAGTTTGCAAAGGAAATTTTTTAACTGCCTGCCTTTTTTCCTTGCAAATAAAAGCCAAAAATCTGTCTGGCTCCCTGTTCCCAGCATTGCCAGGGAACCCCATGTCCAGTGAGCAACAGTCAGAAAACACTGTAAAGTAATTCTCACTCAGGGCTTGGCTTGCATGTCATATTTATTTTCACTTTAGAATCATGGAATCATTGAGGTTGGAAAAGACCTCCAAGATCAGTGAGTCCAGCCTGTGCTTGGTCCTCATCTTGTCACCCCAACCAGAGCAGTGAGTGCCACATCCAGGAGTTCCTTGGACACCTCCAGGGCGGGGATTCCCACCACCTCCCTGGGAATATTTTAAATTAAAATCAATGGCTACTCTGGTACTGATTTTCAGCTGTTAAACAGTGGATCTTTCCAGCATCCTCCTGCTCTGACACCTCTTAGGTACAATGAGCCTGAGCCATCAGAGGGGTGTGTTTTAAAAATTTACCTCTTGTCAGCTGAAGGGTTCTGCCTGGTCCTCTGTATATTCTTAACCTGCCCCAGTTGCAAGAAAAAATGGGGTAATTTATACCACTTTACTTCTCTCTCACTCTCTCACACTTCCCATTGTCATGTTTGCAGTTGATGCCCAGCTCTGCCCTGGATTTTGCATTTTTATTCAATTACATCCTTTATTGCTGCCATCAGCAGATCGTGGGTATCTCCTGTTTCATTTTCTTCTTGTTTTTTTTTAATCCTACTTGTGTCTTTGCTGAAAGCTAAGATACACACAGAGCAAAATCAACCTCCCATCCATCCTCCACGAAGTTCATCTGGGGAACAGGAAATTTACTGGTGTCCATGGCAAGATATCAGCTGAGGTTTCTTTCCCATTTTGTTCTGCTGGCTGTTAGTATAAAGAAGTACAGAACTATCTAGTGATTTTTTTTCCTAAGACAGAACACACCCAAAATGGTCAGAATGTGATCACCTCACTCTGATTTGTACTGTGTCCCTTGCTATGGCCTGGCAGTTCTTGGCCCAGGAACTCAGGGGCATTCTCAACACCTAAAACCTGTGTGAAGCATCAATCCGGCACTGTACAAATCCAGGTGCATTTGACTGCCTTTCCAAACAGGAAGCACAAGGCCTCAGATGGGTGAAAACATATTTGTCTTGTTGAAAAGTGAGCAAAAAATTCACCTGTGAGCAGAAGGCAGCCTCAGCCCCCTGGGCTGGTTTGGAAGTGCTTGCTGCTGGCAGCTTGTGGCTGTGTTTTGCAGCCACACTGCGCTGTGCTGTCCCCTCTCTGCCCAGGCAGAGCTGTCCCAGGAATTAAGAGGAGCCCTGTGCACATTTTTGAGGGGCCAGGGCTGTCACTGTCTCCCTCCACAGCAGATATTTATGGAGGTCATTGCCTTGCTCCCAAGCTTCCCAGCCAACCTTGTCCTTTCTGCCAGCAAAAGAGCTCATCTCGGCTGGGAATAGGGGAAAGAGACGCTGGCAGCCCTGTAGCGCAGGGAGAATGTGAAAATTATGTTTCCACACCCAACACTTCAGAATTTTTCTTCTAATGCCCTTCCTTTTTTCCTCATCCTGTCTGTTTAACTAATTTTCTTCCTGCTTTTCATTCCTACCTGTTCTCTCAGTTGCTGCTGTTGCAGTTTTTCCCTTTCCTTACTCATTACTCCTGCCCACTGTATTTCTCTCTCATTTTTCCTTTTACCTGCACATTTTCTTCTCTTTCTTCCCCAATCTTTCTGCTTCTGCTCCTTGATTATTTCTTTCCTTCCAGTGCTTTCTTCTGTTTTACACTCTCATCCCTCCACTCGCTCCCTCCCCCCAGTCATCTTGCTGTTCTTTGCTGCTGTATCTTTTAATGCCTTCTTTGATACAGCCTACAGCTTAATGATTATTCGGAGGTCAGGCGATGCAGGTGCCATGAATTTCACTAATCCAGCTCTGAGAGCCTCTGTCCATAATCACTCCCTTCGTTCTACAGGGGCTGAATCCTAATTTGTCATTAGCCAGTCCTCTCACTGCAGCACTACCAAGAACTTTTTGCCCAGAGGAGACAATGAAGTATTCATTAGCCAGGGGGGAGGCGGAGGGGAGGGAGCAGCGGCTGCACAGAGGGTTCTGCTGAGAAAGAAGTCGCTGTACCCAGCTTTCCTGGGGCAGTGGGAAGGGGGAAAAGCGGGAAACCAGGCAACAGGGCAAGTGGGCTGTGCAAAAAGTGAATGTGGGTTGAGGTGTCGTTTTCTAGGAGTCGTTCCAGTGCTGCAGGATGTGGAGTTGAAGGTGCTGATACAGCAGCCGTGGGAGTGATGGGGCTCAGGGGTGGGTGAGTGGGGCTGATTTTAAGGGAGAGACTCCAAGAGGTGGTTAATTAGCAGCAGTCTTTTGGGGTTTTTTTAAGGAGGAATAGTTTTAGCAGCTTTGTCTCCATGCATCCTGGCTTCCACCCTCTTTTCTACTGTTCTGAGCTCTGCACCATGAGCAGAAGCTGCTGCTTGCTTTACCTTGTCCTGTTATGGGTCTGTTTTTTAGAGGGTGGGGTCAATTGCCAATGACCTGAAGAGTTGTTTTCTCCTGCTAGCCTGGGAGTTCTGCTGACCTTGTGATGTCTGATAGCCCCACAGCCTCTGGCATGGCTTTATCAGCTCCATTCCCATATCACTGTGGCACTGCTGGGATCCTTGGCAGGACACAGTGCCGCTCTCAGCTCCTAGTGCAGAGTGAAGAGAGAGAGCTCAGATGAGCATTTCTAACTGGTAGCAATTTCTTAGAAGTCTTTTTCTCATCACCAAAGGAGTAAACAGCAGATGAAAGATTCCATCTAGAAATAGACTGGAATAGCTCCCAGATGCCATGGCAGGGCATCGATGTTCCGAGAGCTCTGCCTCAGACACATCCCTGAAAACACTGTAGCTCCAGCAAGATGTCAACACAGAGTCCCTGTGAGGCCTTACAGTGCTAATTCTTCCTTCTCCCCACCTGCAGGACGATACAGGAATGGCTTACCCGAGTCCAGTCCCTGCTGTACTGCAATGAGAATGGGTTCTGGGGGACCTTTCTGGAAAGCCAGAGGAGCTGCGTTTGCCACGGTGGTACCAGTCTGTGCCAGCGCCCCATCCCCTGCATCATTGGGGGCAACAACAGCTGTGCCATGTGCAGCCTTGCCAACATCTCCCTCTGCGGCTCGTGCAACAAGGGCTATAAGCTTTACCGAGGCCGCTGCGAGCCCCAGAACGTGGACTCGGAGCGGAGCGAGCAGTTCATCAGCTTTGAGACGGACTTGGACTTCCAGGACCTGGAGCTGAAGTACCTGCTGCAGAAGATGGACTCTCGCCTGTACGTGCACACCACTTTCATCAGCAACGAGATCCGCCTGGACACCTTCTTTGACCCTCGGTGGCGCAAACGCATGTCCCTCACCTTGAAGAGCAACAAGAACCGGATGGACTTCATCCACATGGTGATCGGGATCTCCATGCGCATCTGCCAGATGCGCAACAGCAGCCTAGACCCCATGTTCTTTGTCTACGTCAACCCGTTCAGCGGGAGCCACTCGGAGGGCTGGAACATGCCTTTCGGGGAGTACGGCTACCCGCGCTGGGAGAAAATCCGCCTCCAAAACAGCCAGTGCTACAACTGGACCCTGCTGCTGGGCAACCGGTGGAAAACCTTTTTTGAGACCGTCCACATCTACCTACGCAGCCGGACTCGGCTGCCCTCCCTCCTGCGCAACGAGACTGGCCAAGGGCCCGTGGACCTTTCCGACCCCACCAAGCGCCAGTTCTACATCAAGATCTCAGACGTGCAGGTCTACGGCTACAGCCTGCGCTTCAACGCTGACCTCCTGCGCAGCGCGGTGCAGCAGGTCAACCAGTCCTACACGCAGGGCGGGCAGTTCTACTCCTCCTCCTCCGTCATGCTCTTGCTGCTGGATATTCGGGACCGAATCAACCGCCTGGCGCCTCCGGTGGCCCCGGGGAAGCCGCAGCTGGATCTGTTCTCTTGTATGCTCAAGCACCGCCTGAAGCTCACCAACAGCGAGATCATCCGAGTGAACCACGCACTGGACCTGTACAACACCGAGATCCTCAAACAGTCCGACCAGATGACAGCCAAACTCTGCTAACCCTGGACTTAGCAATGGACACCTTGGTGATCGATCCTTTTGCTGTATAAAAAAAAAATAAAATAAAACACACACAAAAAAAATACCCAACAAAACCAAAAAAAAAAAGAAAAAAAAAAGAAAAAAAAAAAATAAAAAGAAAGAGAAAAAAAAGTAAAAAGGAAGAAGGAAAAGTAGGGGGAAAGGAAAGAAAAGAAAAAGGGGAAAAATAAGATTTGTAAAATGTAATTAATATACAAAAGAGGAAAAAAAAAGAGGAAATTCTTCATTTGTTGAAAACTAAACCCGTTCTAGCAGCTGTATAAAACTGTCAGGCATGTTTGTTATTTCTATAATCCGTCATAAAAGGGTAACACCGTACTCTCTCTTGACCTTGGGGGTGTTGCTTGTGAGTCCTCAGGGGCAGCAGAGGAAATAAAGGGAGGAGCAGAGAGAGGGAAAAACTTCTGTACTGAACTGTCGAGTTTTCTGCTATGCAGGTGCCAAGACAAAGAGACATACAAAAAAAAAATCAAAAAGTCAAAGCAAACAGAGTTATATGTAAATGTAAAAGAGCTACCATTATTCCTATAGTGGGAGTAAATGGTTAAAGATAAAAGATATTTCTTCTGTTGAGATTTATGCCAGCTTTATGTTGAGTTATTCCCGCAGCCTGTGCTGAGCTTTGCTGGAGGACAGGAGGGGATGGCAGCCCTTGGGGAGTAAAAACGATCCCTGGTGAGACCACACAGAAAAGGTGGAGGGTGGGTGCAGGGCTCAGGTGTCCTCCCTTTGGGATTTCCACCTTGGAAGACGTTTCACCAGAGGCAGAGGCTCAGCAGATGCTGGAAAATGGGAAGTGTTGGGTTGTTTAGCTTGACCTGCAGTGTGTGCCCTGCACTGGGCTGGTGCTGCCTTCAGTGGTGCCAGAGGAGGAGCAGCACCTGTAAATCTTCACTCACTCATCTTCCAGGCCCTTCTACGTAGTCCCTAAAGCAGAGAAAGCCAAAATCATAAAGGCAAAGCTGAGTTTGTGTTTCTGCCTCAGGTGCTGGGTTTTCCAGTAGCGCTGGGTAACCCTCATCACCACAAAAACTAAAGCACAATGCAAGGGAATACATTTCCAAGGAAACCTGGAGACACTGAAGGGTACATAGGTCATTTCTGTTCACTGGGAAAGGAAAAAAAAAAAATCCTTTTTACTTTCTTATGTTTCTGTGGCTGTGAATAATATCCTTGTCTCACTTAACACTTTGTCCACAAAAAAAAAAAAAAAATACAGCAAATATATGAGAACATTTTATTAAAATATATGCAAAATTAGTAAAAGGGAGGGGTGGGTGGGAAGAGCACAACAACCACACCTATCCTGAGTTTGCAAGGATAAAGCCAAATTAAAAAGAAATTGAGTTATCAAAAAAAATACTAAAATAACCAAAAGGTGGGTAGAATTTTTTGGAATGTGTGTGGACATGTGTTTGGATTTAAACAAAAAATAGGATGTTGAATGGAGTGTGTGAATGAAGGATCAGCTGAGCTGGGTGATGAAGCCTGAACACTGTGGGAGGTGAGTAGTGAGGTGTTTCTCTTAATTTCACTGTTTTTTTAGTTGAAGTTGATTGAGAAGTGCTAGTGAGAGACTGGAATTCCCGCCCTCCAGAAGGGGAGAAATAAATCTCTGATCCTGATGCCTTCCAGAGCTGGAGGAGCATCCTGGGGAAAACAGGTCTGAGCAAGGGGCACAGTCCTGATCCAAAAAACAAGATTCAAGTTTGGCTCAAGATTTAACATGTTCAACCGAGCTCAAAATAATCTTGTAGGAATTTTCACTTTATTTCAAGACTTTGGCTGAGATTCTGAGAGTAACATCCGTTCTGGAAAGACCTGGATGCATTTTGGTGTCGGTCATATGGCACCAGGGACTTGGACCACTAAGGCTGGTTTCAGGTTTAATTCATATGATTGAGGTTCTCATCCAAATTTCCTGAGAAGGAACTGATACCTTTGGGAAAATATCCATTCACTGAACTCTCCTGATGAGCTACCAATTGAGGGCATGAGAGAAGCAACTTGGGTAATCAGTAAAACCCCAAAAAGGGGGTTTAGTCACAAAAGGAATGGGTATCAGAGAAAGAGCTGGGTGAATTAAACAGCAAGGGTGTTCTTAGGGACATTTCCTTTAGTAATACCTTTTTTCCCCCTACCTTGTATCAAGATCTCTCTCTCCCCTGGTCAGTCCACACAAGAGGCCTCAGGTTGCCCATTTTTCCCAGTGTTTGTTTTTCATTTGCTTGGTCTTTGCTTTGTGTAGCAGAAAATCGTATTAGACCTCACCGTTCCAAGAGTGTTCTTTATAGATGTGACATTTCTGCCTCAGCTTTCTGATAAGAGAACATTTGGCAGCAATCGTATGCATGGAGGTGAGTTTTAAGCAAATAGTAGAGAGTATTCATGGGAAATGAATGTCAAATTTGTAATTATCAGTAGAAATAATGTTCCTGACAGTTACATCCATCTAAGCAGGGAATAGGAATGTACTGTTTAAATTACATGTATGACCCAAAGAGCTGACACTTGAAAGAGCTATGGTTATAGCTCTAAAAATACTGACTGCTGCTTCTGAGCAGCCTGAGCTGCAGCCTGCATGCAATGATGGGATTTGCACATGGCTTGGAATAGTGACCGTGCCAACAAGGGGTGAAATTAATTCGATAAATTCTTTCCTTTGAGATAAGAATCCAGGTCTAGTGAGCAGAAGCCAAAGAAGCTGCAATTAAATCTCAGATCTCATGGGTAGCTAGCAGCACATTACCTAAATCTCGCCCTGTGTTTGTGGCACTGGTGGGGATCAAATCAATTGCCCTCACGTATCTTTAACAATGCCTTGGGATGAGCAGCCCCCAGCTTTTACTGCCCTCAGCAATGGGGGAATGCCATAAACATTAAGCAAGGTTTTGGGTGCCAACAGAACATTAAATCCTGGCTGGCCCATCCCGAACCGAGTGGATGGTGTGGAGCTGAGAGAGGCACGTGAGGCAATGTTCCCATCGTGGCTGGGAAAGGACAAGCCAGAGTGTGAGGAGAGGGAAGGAATTTTGGCATAGACATGCTGTCAGCATGTGGAACTCACCTTGGGAGTACCTGATGGTGCACCTGGATATGATGGCACATCAACACCACAAAGTGGAGCCACGTTCCAACGTGGCTACATAAAATATTGTGAAGGAATGCAGCAAAAATGTCAAGCATAAACTCCCCACGTCCTTCAAGGTAGGGAGGATGAAGTCATTTGACATCTCAGCCACCATTTTGGGCTCACTGAGAAAATGGGAAAAACCCCAAAGAAGCCAATCAAATGTGGATGATTGCTTTTGATGCTAGGAAATAAATTAAACCGAGCACATGCTCTGCTTCCACTGCTCAGTCCCAAAAGCCCTTCCCCAGGTAAGGGCAGGCTGTGACAGCCAGATCCAGAAACATCCCCCAGGTTTGGTTTAGGGAATTTGTTCCGCAGGCAGCTGGAGATGTGGAGGCATCTGAGGCCACACCAGTGCCACAGTGGGGTTAAAGGGCTCCTGAGGAAATGATGGTCATAAAAATGTGTTTGACAAGACAATGACTGGAATGGAGGGTAATTAACACAGCAGAATTAGGCAGGACACAGAGAACCCCTTCACCATAAAACTCAACCCACTAACCTGCATGATCAGTGGGTATTGGAGAGTTTAATGATAAAAGGGATGTTTGTACTCTCAAGTCAGGGTAACCATTCTCTGACTGTGTCAGAACAAAACCCAGCTTCCCCCCTTGGCATGAGGAGGAGTTAGGGAGAAACCCATCAGATTGTCCAGCTCAGCTAATAGAGATGCTCCTACCAATTCAGGACAGATACTTTCATTAAATTAGGGACTACATGAAAGCTGGAGCTTCCAAATAACCCAGAAAAAAGAAAAAAGCAAAGTAAATTCCAGGTGTCCCAAAGCCAAAGCATGGAAAAAACAGCAGGTAGGGCAGAATCCTGCTTCCTTTCAGATGCAGAAGACTTCTGGGACCATTTTCCTTCAGTCACAGGAATTCATTGGGAGCTTCCTAAGAAATCTGCTCTTTTTAAATTATTCAAATTTAGACTCACCAACCGGTGTGGCAGAAAGCAAAAGACGTCAGCAAGTCTTATTAACATGCTGATGCTATGGCTTCAGGAGTGTGCAGAATGTCCATTTGGATCAGGGCTAAGAGCACGGCATGAGGTTGCCATGGAAACGTGGGGAGGCCATTAATTAGCTATCACATGGAATCGTCAGAAAGAATCTGGACCTCAGCAGCTTCGGCCTCCTCAGAGGCAAAGGGCACAGCCCCAGAGACCACCCCAGTCAGGCCCAGTGACCCCTGCACAGCTCCAAAAACAGCCACGTTCCAGAGCAGAAATGTCCTCCTGAGGGGCTGAGAAGTAGGTGGACAAGAAAGAGGAGGGGACAACAAGCAGAGAAATAGATAAAGAATGGAGACAACTTCCCTTTTTCTTGCCCCTTCCCTTCCCAGGAGGCCTGGCTGCTCTTGCACAGAAGAACATGAGATCTGCTGCTTTTTGAGCTGGCAAGGCTTATGCCAAGTGACCTCAAAGAAGTGAAGAGCAGCCCCAAGGCCCTGGAAAATCAAATTAATGGAGTTTGCATCTTCTTGGGTGGGCTGCACCTGGGATGAGGGAACTCCAGTGCTCCCTAAAGCCATCTCAGGCCATGCTAAACCAGGAATCCCTTTCCCCAGAGTGAAACATGGGCAAGTAAGAGAGGCTTCTTGGCCACTTGCCCAGCCTCCCTTCAGAGCCAGAATCCTGTAAGCAAGCTGTGATGGACTTCAGCTGCCATGGATGGGATGTTCTTTTTAGCTCTTTAGCCCACTTGCTAAAACATGGCTCAGGAGGGCATTTGGCAGATGGTGCCTCCTGCACAGGGGTGTAGCAAGATCCCCAGCCTGGCTGCTCAGTCCCAGCACTGCAGGAGACACGCTGGGTGCCAATCCCAGCTCTGTACTCCATCTCCTAAAGCACTTTCCTTCAGGAAT